AGAAATGTAGTTTTTCAATACCTTCACTGCACACAAACAAAATTTTAATGTGTACCTTCTCGCCTATTCCCATCGATAGCTGCTTGGAGATCCGATGGATTCGATAACGCCTCTTTTTCACATTCATAATCGTAAAGATACTTTTGGTACCTAGATTATCCCCAAATTTATATATGTCTTCACTCCCAAATCAATAGAAATTACTTACTGAGTTCGAAGTGTGAATGCTGCTGATGTAATGCTGGAAGGTAAGTTGAGACCTTTAGTGATTTCTCGCCAAAGCTTTTTGTTAATGATCTCCACAAGACCTCCATGCTGGACGACAAGGCGGTATAACTCATAAAGATCCAGTACTTGTTTGGCCATTATCGGTATTCGGGTTACAGGTTTTCCTGTATAACAAAGCATTTTAACAGTATAAATTGAGCTATTAAGGCTATTTCAAATTAGAGATGATATATAGAAGATTAGATTAAATCTTTCTTTGCACTTATGTTACGCTTCTTCCCTTAATATTGACAACATATAGTAAAATCTCCTATGAACAACTTTCTTCTATAATAAAAACTTCATTGAATCTAACTTCTTTGTGGGTAAGCTTTTTCTTCACTGCTTTTCTTACAGCAAAATTGAAAAAAAACCCCTTACTGCCTTTCTTCATTCTTCCTTCCCTCTCTCCCTATCTATAGCAATCGATCAAAAGCTAGCCCCTAAGCTGTTGCAATGAGCGCGAAAGAACGATCTGATCGGTCGAGAACTACTTGTCAAACAATCAGAACATAATCAGAAGCTCAATGTTTGCGTTGAGCGCTCGCCGAGTGCGAGGAGAGCCGTCGAGTCGATCTCTTCATATTTGATTGGTCTGTGATGTCGGCCCAAGAGAATAAGTCTCGAACACACTTGACGCGCAACACTACGAAGCTTATCGATACCGTATCACATGCGCACGATGCGCTGAGCAAGCGCGTCAACATGCTGAACATTCCTTTGAGGACAGGACTCACTATTTCATACGCGCAACTCGCTAATTTTTTATTATGAATTGATTCTAGGGCTTGCTTTGAAAATGGTAGAACTGGCAGTTAGAAACAAAATGAGTTTCATAAGACTTACCAATTCTGTGCATAAAACTTAGCCAATCGTCCAACCATTCCTTTCTCTTCGCATCATCGGAGAGCTCATAAAGCTAAAAAGCA